TCTGGCAGCTTGAAGATCACGAGTATAAACCTTTAGATCCTAAAGATATACGTCTTCCACCTCCAATGCCCCCCAGTGAGAGACTTCTGGCTGCAGTTGAGGCATTTTATAGTCCACCATCTCATGACAGGCCTAGAAACAGGTAAGAGTAGGTGTAGCCAATAAAATGGTAAGGAAAATGCTCTAAGAAAGTGCCTCAAATCACAAAGTGCTTTCCTCTCTTTTGCCTGTGTCTTGGTTCTCCTAGTTGTATTGCAGCTGCACTTGCTGTTTGATCTTATACTGAGATTTGTGAGACAGTTTTTCCCAGACCCTTTGTTCTGTACAAAATCCTGTGAAAATCCTTAAGGTCACAACTGAAGTGGAATTTACACGTGTGGGTTCTGTGTGGTTGATTTGTTGCAGTGAAGGATGGGAGCAGAACGGACTGTACGAATTCTTCAGAGCTAAAATGAGAGCAAGGCGGAGGAAAGGTCAGGAGAAGAGAAATAGGTGAGAGTTCCTGTGTGCCGCCTTCTGCTCTGTGCTGTTCATCTGGAAGGTGCTTGGGCTAAATGCAGAGGGAAAGTCTGTTCACCAATATGCTGATGGAACAATGAGTTTCAGTGTGCTGGAATTTCTGTCTAATCTGCAGAAAATGGACACAGCACAGGTTGCCCAGAGCAGCTGTGGGTGCCCCATCCAGGAAAGTGCCCAAGGCCAGGTTCAACAGGGCTTGGAGCAGCCTGGTCTTGAGGAGGGTGTCCCTGCCCAATGGCAGGGGTTGGAACTGGATGAGTTTTAAGGTCCCTTCCAACCCAAACTGCTTTGTGATTCTGTGAAACAGTTTTTCACACTCAAGCTTTCACTTTCACTGCAGAAGTAATGCTTGTGTGTAATTTGAATTTGATCAGGAGTAGTTTTGTGTTTCTGGTGCTTCTCCATGGAATCTGACTGGAGTTTTTCTGCTCATTTGTGCAGTGGGCCCTCTCGGTCTCGCAGTCGGTCTAAAAGCCGAGGTCGTTCATCTTCTCGGTCTCACTCACGATCTTCAAAATCATCTGGCTCCTACTCGAGGTCACGCTCTCGCTCTTGCTCTCGATCGCGATCCTATTCTCGCTCACAGTCCAGGTAGGGCACGGGGGGCTGAACCTTGGGAACTGGGGGAGTGGGAAAACCCCAACCCTGGAGGCTGATCCAAGGATCCACGGGGGCTGCTCTGGTAACTTGTGTGCTCTCCCTTTCAGAAGCCGGAGCAGGTCCCGCTCCTCTCACAGCCGATCGCGGTCTCGGTCACGGTCTCGGTCCAAATCATACTCCCCAGGAAGGCGGCGCCGGTCCCGCTCTCGCAGCCCCACTCCTCCGTAAGCTCTGCTTTGGTCCTGTCTCCTTGTACCTACCTGGGCTGTTTGAACAGAGCGCCTGCAGGGGCACTGCCTCCTTACCAGGGGATAATTAGCATTTCATCAAAGAGCAGAAAAGATGATGGAGGGCAGATCTAGAAACAATTTATCTGCTGTATGGGCTTGTAGAGAGAATATTACTCTATTGTGGTGGCTTTTTATTTTAACAAAACTGCATGCAGAAGTGAAAACTGCAAAACTGTGAAGTCTGTGTATGCCTTCCTTGGGAGCAGGAGTAATTCTCTGTGTGCTCCGTTGGGAAGAGCACAGTGTTTGATTTCCCTTGTGCTGAGAAGCAGGTGATGTGTTTCTGGCACCTCAATAACTGCATAATCTGATGGCTGTAGTAAAGAATAGCTTAGTAGAGTGGATAGAATTGTGTTGGATGTTAATGCTTAACAGAATAGAACTGGTTTTTGTGTCAGAATAGTATCACTGGTTGTTAATTTGTTCTTACTTTCTTAGTTCTTCTGCTGGTTTGGGTTCCAGTTCTGGGCCTCCTATACCAGAATCGAGACTTGGAGAAGAAAATAAAGGCCATCAAATGCTAGTGAAAATGGGTAAGATGCTGTTCTAGAATCTTACACAAGCCAGGAAACAAAATTAGACACCAAAGTCTTAAACGTAATTAATTAATGCATGTTCATACGGAATTATTCCTTCGCATTCCAAGGTCAGCATAAGAATATTCAGAGGTGTAAGTATATGGAGCAATGATAGTTGCTTTTCTGAGAAAGATACAGAAGACAGGGATGAGTTTGGCATCAGATGGAACTGACCCTACCTGAAGTATTGATTCTCCCAACAGTGCAGGTCAGCAGAGTGGACAGATTGGACTTGCAGTGCCTTTCTTCTTATCCTCCTAACAGTTTTTAGGAATACTGCTGCTGTCAGCTCCTAGAATCTCTGCATATTAATGCTTGTGAAATAAATGGGACAGTTCATGTGTTGTTTCAGGTTGTCTGTTCCCATCCTGCTTTATCAAAGTGATGCTGTCTTTGGTTGTTTCCAAAATGTCCATGTTTGTCTTCACAATTGTAGTCATAAAAAAACAGTGAGAGGATTGCAATGTTGTGTCCTTGCTGCAGGATGGAGTGGATCCGGTGGATTGGGAGCCAAGGAACAAGGAATTCAAGATCCAATTAAAGGAGGTGATATCCGAGACAAATGGGATCAGTACAAAGGAGTGGGAGTTGCATTGGACGACCCTTATGAAAACTACAGAAGAAATAAAAGTTACTCATTTATCGCACGCATGAAGGCCAGGGATGAATGTAAGTGAATGTTTCTCAGCAATTTAGAAACCTCTGTGGACTTGAAAATTATTTTTGTAAACCCAAATCAAAATAGCAGTAGCTCTTAATTTTTTCTAATGTAACCAATACAGTAAAACAACAGGTAAGTGGATGTGTACTCTGATTAACCCAGCAGGTTTTCCTTTTTAAGCATTGTGTTGTGTTTTAATTTCCGAAATGTTAATTAGTAAGTGTGTTTTGTGTTTTGTGTAAGTCACTTCCTGGCTGCAGTACTGAGAACCTGCATCTTTGAATGTTGCCCCACAAAAACTTGGAACAGTCACAGAGTTAGTGGAGGGGGAGCTATGCCACACAAGGGACAGCTGCCACAGCAGGGAGGTCCTTGTGGCTGGAACCAAGTTAGGCCACACTTACTGTTTACTCCTGCCCTATTCAGTTTCCTACCATTATTATCACATTCTGCCAAAGCCAGAAATGGTAATAAATTCCCTGTAGTGCAGGAAGGGTTCAGAAAAAGACAATTACCCAAATGATAGATTTTTGCAGAGAGTCTGTGATGCACTGAACATTGGCACTTGCCAACAGCTAGAAGGAAAAAGCTGGCATGCTCAATGAAATGTCACTTCTGCCTTCAGATCTGTGCAATCAAATGGGTTCAAATAAAGCCCATAAGGAAAAATTCCTTATTAACAGAACCCTCATTCCACCAAACACTTCAGACAGCTTAGGTAACTGCAGAATGTGTAAGAACTCTTCTCCCTATTGTTTCAGTAAAGCATGAAACACAAGACCCTTCACCACCCAAGTAAGACTCTCTGAAGAAAGATGTCTTGCATCTTCTGCAAAACATTAAACTTTTAGAAATCCTGATTAAAGTCTGGATGAAGTGACAAATGAATTACTTTAAAAACTATGGTGAAAAATGGAAAGCTATGACATGTACTTCAATACATGTCAATTAGTGCTTAAAGAAAGCCAGTTGTTACTATGACATGTCGAGCAAGTTTAAAAATTCCCATTTATCTTGCAAAACTTTCTAATTAGTTCCCCATTTTACAGTCAAGCTGTTCCTGGTGCAGGACTGTGCCTCATTCATTCCTGTGGAATAGACATTATGTGATATGGTTGTATGTTCTCTAGTTCCATAATGTATATTTATTTCTCTCAAAAGGTTAATTCTATTTGAAGTGGAGGGGTGCTGCCTTGGGATCAAGTCAGACTGATGCTGAGCAGTGTATCCTAATGTCTAAATGGGGAATGAAGCATCTAGTTCCAGTGCAGGTGACCTCTGAGCACTGTGCCAGCTTTTAGAACCTTCCACTCAGCTCCAGGCCCCGCCCAGCAGCTGCTGCAGCCACCACTCGGGGCAGGACACAAGGGTCAGTTCTCTGGTAGCTTTCCCAGCGTTCTGAGGGATGGGCAATGCTTTGTAATGGAACACAGTCTTTGAGCTTTTTATATTTTTGTATATACCCTTTAATAAAAGCTAATTAGTTCAATAGAAGAGAATCCATTTTCTCTGCTCTACACATTTCTATCAATGAGATGATCTTGGAAAGTTGCTGTAATCTAAATGAAAAAAGAAACAAACCTTTTGTAACTGTTTCCAGAGACCACCAGCTACAACTGTTAGGCCCTTACACTGCACTTCCACTCCCCAGGTCTGCGTGGCGGTTCCCTTTTCCAGTTGTTTGTTTGTAGAGCAAAAACCCTCATAAAACCATTTAGTTAATATGGTGGAATATCAGTTTGTTCTAGATCTGCTGTAGTTGTGAAACTGTACCTGTCTGTGAATCAGCATACAACACCTGTGTGTTACCAACTTGTGAATGTTGTTGTTTTGCCTTCCAATAAACAATTTTTTTAAAATAAAAATGCAGCTGAGATTTCATGTACCTGGAGTATTAGCCTTCCTTGTTTTGAATTTATCTTAATAAACACACCCAAGCGTGTGTTTGGGTTTGTTGTAGTCTGACAAGGCTGATTATACAGAAACGTTGTTTGGGTAATGGCACTGAAGTCAGGATATGGTAATTTTCTGCTGTGGTTGTGTTCTTGGGCTGTAGTACAGACTTTCACTTCTACCACCATCATAGATGAGATCACAGATCTCACAATTCACTGGACAAATGTATGAACTGTGATGACTTATCAGAGTCCCATTAGATGGAAGTGTCACATCTTGATGTCTCTTTTGCTGACATAGTCTGACTGAAGGTTCCTGTGTATCCCTGTATTGTGTACCAAAAACATTCAGGTATAGAAAAGTAAATTATATACAATAATGAGCAACTTGTACTAACTAATTTATACTAACATAGCAGTTTGTATGAATTCTTCCAATACAGTTTATAATCTTTTATCTGTGCAACTTGAAAAGGTTTATTGTTTCAGCCTTAGACCTGTGAATATAAATGTCACTTGAAGTTCAATAACTGTCCCAGCAGTTATTTCTCCTGGGCTCTCTCCGAATTTCTTCAAGCGCTTGCTCAATGGTTAGAGGTGGGGATTTGTGATTCTTGATGTACTGCAAAAAGAAAAAAAGTTAATAAGCTAATGTCTTCATTATGTAGATTATTATTTATTAAATATTACAGCTAATCTTTGTGTCAAGATACCTGCAGGTTTCTGTACTAGCAACAGAAAGTGACCCTTCTGTTGCAGCATCTGAATGATTCCTACTCATTTGAGGACAGCTAAATGCTACAGCAGAAACCTTAATCTTTAAAAACTATGGCCTCCTGCAGGACTTCAGTCTTTTTTTTCTCTTAAACTTAGTAATTATTTATATGCAGAGAAACTAGGTTTGCTGTAAATACCACAAGTGTTTGGAAAGGAATACATGCTCAGTCTCTAGTTTGTCATAAATACCTCTTTAGCCTCTTCCAGGGTATGGTAGTGAAACTTCTCGTGCTCTAATGACTCCACGAGGGCTGTGTGAAGGTGGCGAACGTTCTCGACAAACTGCTGGGTCAGCATCAGGTGCTGCTTGCACACGGCGTGCAAGACGAGAACCGAGGGGCTGTACGCGGTCAGGGCTGCAAGGAAGGGACGGGGTGCACTGCGCTGAGGCACGGCTGGCAGCAAGGGCTGAGCAAACCAAGCTGGGCTCAGGTGCAGAAAATAGAGTGAAAAAGAATTAATGTGGTTTTGGTACCTTCTACTGCGTCCATGCTGATCACGTGACTGGCAATTGGCACTGGATCAATGCAGGTGGTTCCGACAGGTGGGGCGAGCACTGCAGCGGGGTTTGCTGTGCAGAGGATAGCATCACAATTACTGGCTGGGGAGAGGGAAAGGTTCAGTGCCACTGCTTGGTTCTTCTGCAGTTTCTCGGGCCAGCAGCTGCCCTAAAACCACACTACAGCCTAACAGCAGAATTCTGTCAGCCAAAAATATGTTGACATAGTTATACAATTTCCACAGTTTCTTTACTCTTAGGCTCACAACACCATTGCAGAAGGCACCTTTTCTAACCCTAGGCAGAGTCAAAATAGAAGACTTTTGTACTCAATGCTTCTGTTTTCAAGCACGCTCAAGTTTCTCCTTTCTCCTCGAGTGTGGCAAGGAATGGTGGCTCTCAGCACTTTTTCCTTTTAGTAAAGAGATGTAGGCAGGGAGCTATCTCTCAGAATGTGAAAGCTCATATCTGATCCTTCTGGGGGGCTATAATGCTTTCCCGAGAGAAGTACAATGCAAAAGAATTCTATGAATGAGCAATCACTTGAGTAACACTACTAATACCAGCACTAATAATGCTATTTTTTAAGTAGTAAAGATACCAAAATATTGAATTTCATATGAGAGTACTACTTGTGCTATTGTGAGTTCTGTCACTAACACTTGCTCATCCAGCCTCAGGTCCTATGGGGAGTGTTTTTAAGCAAAAAACATTCCTTATTATGATATTCAATCCTAGTCTTTCCTGTAGACAGCAGATTAAAGCACTGGGCTTTAGAAAAATTTTTATTTAGCACTAGTGAGAGGAAGCTGTCACTGAAGTGAAGAAGTGTTACTGTTTAGTAAGAAATTATAGAAAGTCATCAGAAGGTTGAGTGATATATGGTGCTCATTTATGCCAGACTGCTCCTTTTTATTCACTGTTCCAATACAGGTGGACTTGATTGGTTATTTAGTTAACACATTTCACCCGACTGCCTAATTAACAAGATGTTCTTTCATAAACAATCTTTGAGAATAACAAGAAAACAGACAGTAAGAAAAGCAACACCTGTAGGTTGTTTTTGATAATCAGTTATCATTGTTTATCTCCAGCTCCCTAAAGTCTCCCAGGCCAATTCTGGGAAAACTTACCTAGCTTTCTTGTTCTCTGACCAGGCTGTCACATCTACAAAGAAGTCTCTTAAGGCTGACTGCGTGGGCATATATGAAAGTGTAAAACTTGCCTGAGTAGGGCAGTAAGTGGTGAACTCACCCTTTGCCCAGCAGTAGGTGAAGGGAGGCTCTGCTGTCTGGACTGCAGTTTCCCTGACGCTCACTTGGTGCCCCCGGGGCTGCTCTGGGGCGACCAGCGGGGATGACCCTGAAGATGGGTGTGCTCCAGAACACCTGCAGCTCTCCGCATGTCCCTCTACAGATTCCCTGTCTGCTGCAGACAGAGACCTTTCAAAGTCTTCAGAATATTCTGAATTAAGAGTACTCTCATTCTGATTAAGATAATCCCGTTTGTGTGGAGGGAAATCTGAGGAAACTCCACTTAAATGTTCAGAGATTTCAGCTTCGGAGACACATTTTTCAACTTCTTCTATAGAAGAATCACTCACGGCAGTTACTGCACTGGTCATTTTTACAGTGGCCTGGTCCTCTTCCACCAGCAATGTATCTTTTTTCACATACTTGTTTGATTCTTGAGTAAACTGAATGTCTTCTCCCTGTAAAAGTATTTATTTTAGAACTTCCACACTCCACCAAAAGCAGACTGGGAATATGTGCTAGTGGGGAATTTCTACTTACTTTCTGTTTTAATTCTGCTGCCTTACTGGTAGTATCTGGTGCCAAATCATCAAGGCTCATGATATTCAGTCCAAAGTCTGCAAACAAATGACACCTACATGAGAATTTGATGAAAATTACAGTATACTTTCCTGTAAGTGAGTAAAGTGTGGAAAAAAAATCAGTACTATCTTCCTAGATAACTACTAAAAAGTAATAGCAATGAGTCACTGATTCTTTAACTTCATAGAAACTCCTAAAATTTCCTCCTTTGATCAGCTGATGTTCCTGAAAATCAAGAGATTTTTGCTGCCCCTCATTTCCAGCTGTTCTCACTCTGACCCACTGGTACATTGTGCCACTGATACAGGAAAACTACTTTAATATTCTAATTGTTTTGACATCATAATGTCACCCAGGTCAGCATCATTAATATGAACCCATTAAGTCAAAAGCTAAGAAAAATACAAACCTATTACACTAGGGAAAAAAAAAAAAAAAACCAGATAAAGATAATTACTTTGATCAGGCCTTGGTTTGTGTAAAATGTCACTGATGAATCCTTTCAAAATGACTATTTGCCCATGTTTATTAAGAGAATTTATCAGGAGATCATCAGTACAATTGATACTGAGTCTACTGAGACAATATTTTAGAAAACTTACATTTCAAACTGCTGCTGGATGGATCTTCTGCATCAGCTCCTTCAGAAAATAATTCATCTAATGACTTTATTTCACTTCTGACACTTTCAATGGATTCTTGGCTTTGCTTGGTGTAGCCTGCTTCAGGCAGAGCACTCTTTACAGTGTTGTCTTTCATGGAAGATGTGGGATGTCCTGACAGGTTTCTGCTGGTGGGTGGTGCTGGTGAATTAACTCTACCAAACACACTTTTTTCTGAGTCTTTGTTGTGAGAAGAAGATGCTTTAGATAACTCTGCCGATGAAACTTCCTTACGAGGTGGAGGAGCCTTTCCTGATAGAACTGGAGTCTTACTCTTTTTGAAGAGCACGAAAAAGAGATTTATGTGTTACTTCATTGTTATACATAGATTGCTAAAGGGAGAACAAATCATTGTGGGTAAATAGAGCAATTTTAAGATGTGAACCTGAATCCTATTATGAGCAAGACACAAATGCAAATTTAAAATTTAGTTGCTAGTGTTATCTAAATAAAAAGCAATCTACCAATTATCATATGAATCATATGAAAGCATTAATAAAAATACATGATCCAGCAAAGTTTGTATGTACCTTTCTGCTTTACTGAGCATCACTTACCAGAACCTTCTGATTCCCACTTCCACTGGAAAACCCCAAAGAGCTCTCCATCAATTCTCTCATTTCCTCTTCATCACTATCCAGATCAAGCTGTTGTTTAACCATAACACTCCTTTCAGGGCTTTGCATGCTCTCCTCTTCCCCAGAACAGGCATCCCTGCAGGTCCCATTCCCACTGGTGGTACCATAATTCTTCCAGTACCTCTTGCCCTTGGCACTACCTTCATGCCCAGAGGCGGAGGAGGCGCACCCCTCAGCCAAAGGCTTCAGGCCAGAGTCGGTGTTCTGCAGTTCCAGGTGCTTTTTTTGACCCATGATTTTGCTTTCTAGTTGCGCCACTTTATTCAGGACTGCGTTTAGCCGCGTGTGGGCGGCGCTGCCCGCAGCGCTCGGGGCTGCGCGGCTGCTCCCTGCCCACACGGCGCTTCCCGGCCGCTGGCTCCGCTGCGTCCCACCAGCGCTTCCATCGCACAGCTTCAGGAACCGGCCATGGCGGGACAGAGTTCTTCCAGCATTCTCCAGCTCTCTGTCCACCACCGTTAAGTCACCACGGGTGCCGGTCCTGCGGGGTACATGGCTGCGGCCCTGCCAAGAATCACACAGTTACTGGCCTTAGGAAAGACCCGACATCATCGAGTCCAACTTGCGACTGATCCCCACGTTGTTAACCAGACCAAAGCACTGAGTGCCACGTCCAGACTTTCCTTAAACATCTCCAGGGACGGTGACTCCACGGGCAGCCCCTTCCAATGCCCGACCACTCTTTCTGCGAAGACATCCTTTCTGATGTCCAACCTAAACCACCCCGCCACAGCTTAAGATTGTCCCCTCGTCCTGTCGCGGGTTCCCAGGAGCAGAGCTGGTCGCTACCTGGCTCCACCCTTCTGTAGGGAGCTATAGGAAGGGGCTACTACAGATCCCTCCTCACACAAGGCGCAAACACGGGCCCGCTCCGAGGCTGCCTAGGTACAGACCGAGATAGTGCGCCGGTGCCTCACCTGCCCTCGGCCCGCGGGTGCCCGAGAGATCGCGGCCATCCGGGACGGGACGGGCCGGGCCGGGCCAGCGCTGAACGGCGCAGGACGGGCGGCAGGGGCGGAGCAGGGTCGGGAGAACGCCGCCGAGTCCGCCCAGCCCGAGGCACCGGAGGCTTCTCTGGGCCGGGCTAGAGCGGGCGGTACGCAGCCGGGTCCTGGACTCCGGGACTCCCCAATTTCCCGCCCACTCATTGGCTCCGAGCAGCGATTCGGCGCCGCCAGCCAATCACAAGCAGGTTTGCAGCCGCCGACAGCCAGCGCCCCGACTGCAAGCCCCAGCATGCATCGGGGTCAAGAAATGGGGATTCTTACCGACCCGCGATTTGCTGATTATTGGAGCGAGTTGGGAATTAATCCAGTTGTTCCGCAGGATTTGAGTTAAAACCCCTCACTGAAACAACATATTGTAGGTTATTACCTGCTCTTTGTACTTGTGTGGCATTTCCCGGGACTTGGTGAAACTTGTGCTTTGTGTGTCACAGTGCAATTTGGCGTAAGGTATCTAACATCGTCATATAATTGTAATACAATTACATAGCTATTGAGCTTATGACATGGATAATTTTTGTTTTGCCTAGTTTTTTGTTTTTCTGGGTTAGTTTTCTAGTACTTTCTAGTGATATCGTTCTGCTGTAAGCCAGTTCCTAAGACTTGAGTTTAAGGTTCTTAAAAATTTTTCCTTGCTGTCTCTAAAACCCTGGCTGACAGCTATACACAGCTATATACTCCAATTATATATTTTGATTAAAATTCCAGATCAGAGTTATGAAATAAAAATTGATACAAAATGCATCTAGCAGCCCACAAGATTATTTAGATTGTTTACCACTGAGGAAAATGAATGATCAAAGAAGCCCACAGACTGGGATGATTGAATCCAAATTTATGATCTAAATGACCAAACTGATGATCTAAATCAGACCCGAGGTAAATTGCTCTCCTTACTCTGTGTTAGTGGATTATTTAATTTCTTTTTAATATAGTTGAACTGTGTGCTGGTTTTGCTTTCTTAATTTTCCTGTGCCTTTTAAAGGATTGGGATGAACCTGAACCCATGGTGGAACTAGTGCTGAGGACCTGAATTTTGGGATGAAGAGTAATAATAATGCAGAATGGTATGATACTCTAGTCGAGATCCCTCTATACAGTTTATAAATAATTTCCTTTTCCTAACTAGGGGAAAACCTTGAGCCTGACTGTGTTCCAAATATGTAGTTCATACTAGGGGAAATGGAAACCAAATTGGATGGATAACCTGAGGGCTCTTAAGAGAACAGGAGACTTCCTGGGTTTTTTTCTGTTTTCCTTCCAAAGTGAAGGAGGAAGGCACAATTTTTTTACAATTTCTGAATAACAGATGCTGAGGTTTATGCAAAATATTTTGGAGATAGAACATGGGGAGGAATGAACATGAAATTCCCATGGGTGTTTTCATTCTTTATTTCCACATTTTAAAGATTCCTTGTCTAATCTGAATGAGAAATTATTGGTGTATAGAAATGAAATTACAATTCCATGGTCCTGAAAGGGAAATGAAGTAGGCTGAGGAATAGCAGGAGAGAGAAAGGACTAGGGAGGAAACGTACTTTGAACAATAGCTTAAGAAAAAAAATTAGAAAGAAAGATGACTCAGGAAGGGACAGAGCAATGGGGAATGATATTTATAGTATATCTTATAGAGAGGAATCCTGTCTGTCAGTGTCTGCAGGGAAGGGTCAGAGCATGGACCAGGGGGCCCAGCAATGGGACAAGAAGCAGCAGGCAGAAACCACCTGAATATGAGAAAAACTTCTTTACTGCGCAGTGACCGAGCACTGGAACAGACCGCAATCCCTCACTGGAGATATTCCAGAACTGTGGACACAGTCCTGGGCCATGTGCTCTGGGATGGCGGCCCTCTGCGCCATTCAAACCTCGCTCGTTTGGGGTTATGTGACTGCCCAGGGAGCTGGTGCCGAAGTCCTCGTCCCTGGAGGCGTTTAAGGAGTGACAGGATGTGCTTTGATCTGTTTGACAAGGTGGTGATCTGTCAAAGGTTGGACTCGGTGACCTAAGAAGTCTCTTCCGTTCTAAATGACTGGGCGACTCCGTGGAGCGCTGCGGGCAGCGGCAACTGCCGCCGCGGAGCGCCTGCCGGGCCGCGATAAAGCCGCGGCCGCTCGCCGGCGGGTCTCGAGCCCCTCCTCAGCCGCCGCCTCCCCGGCCCGGCCCGGCGCGGCCCGGCCGCCGCCTCCCGCCCCTCGCTCCGCCCCGGCCGCGGCCCGACCCAGCGGGAGGAAGATGGCGGCGCTCATCCCCCTCAGCCAGCAGGTACCGCGGCTGCTGGGGACGCGCGGCCCTCCGCAGCGGCGGCCGGCCGGGCGCGGCGAGTAGCAGCGGGGCTGCATCGTAGCCGGGTGCAGCCGGGCTGGAATTGGCGCTGGGTACAGGCCCTGTGCCGGGAGGGGCTCGGCCCGCGGGGAATAAGGGTCGGGGCGCGGCGGGGAGCGGGATCCGGGCGGGGCAAGGGCGGCGAGCGGCCCCCGCTGTGCCCCGGGCCCGGGCGGCGCTGCTGGGGGCCGCGAGCTGCGCCGGGGCCCTTCCCTCATGGAGGCTCTGGAGCTGCGTCCCTGGGGAGGGGCTGAGGGTCTCCTGGCGCTTCCCCACCCCGAGCCGCCGGGGTTACCGTGGGCCAGGGGTTTGAAGGCAAGAGGGCTGGTGCTCCGCACGTCACCCCGTTTTCCTGTTGGTACCGGCGCGGTGATGCCGCCTGGAACCGCCGAGCTGTTGTGGCGGGGTGCCGTGACCGTGTGCGGTGTTCAGGGGGTGCGTGGTTAGGGGGCACCGGGAAGGCGCTGAGGGATGAGCGGGAGGCGTTCGCCTGTCAGGAGGAGCAGAAGCTTCTGCAGGGCAGGACATGGGGTGCGTATCCCTGACCCTGGGAGAGGCTGTTTTCAGCTCTGGTTGAGTGCTTGGGATCCCTGGGTTCATTTCTGTTGTTACAAGTTTTTTTATTTGATTTTTCACCCAAATAATTCAAGCGTAAGCAGTGTGATTGCTGTTGTTTTCCATAGCCATGTGAAGAGAGTCAGTTTACTTATTTGCTTTAAAGCAAAAGAAAAGCAACACCACCCCACTACCTTCAATGTCTTGAGAAACCAAAACTTTTCTATACTGTGCCTAGGCCAGTCAGGCATTCTGATTGACTCCTATTAGTAGTTCGGATTAATTAAATATATCGATTTCTGTTTAATAATGATCTTTGAGTTGTGATACTCTAAAAATTTATCTCTCAGTGGAGTTATGTGATGCTTGGATAACATAACTTGCTGTGTGTCTTACTACGTACTGCTGTTTAGCTTCTGTGTAGCAAGAGTCGTGATTAACATCAGTTTGATTAAATGAGCGTATTCAGAAACATCTGAAAACATCCATGTGCACACAAACTGTTATCAAATTTTCAAGTGATTAATGTGGTGCAAAATATGTAAGTCAAATAAACTTTGGATGTGAAAGGGTTTGTAGTTGTGAAACTTCTGTAATACATTATAGGAAAAGGTAAAAATCAAATAATTATCAAATACTTACTCTAGAAATCCAGTTTCTCTATTGTTTAAATTCTCATTGATCTTTGAGAGACTGGCATCAATGGTATTCCATTTGATAGAAAATGTTATGTTTAGGGAGACTAAGACCACATTCTGTAAACATATACGTTATTTTTATATAGTATTTTCCAACTAATTCAGTGGAAGCATTGTAGTTCTAAAACTTGTTTTCATATATTGAACTGTCAAGAGTAATCTAGCTGTAAACAGAATTTCCTTTAAAGTAATAAACTTCCTCTTCTAATAGCCTCAGTTTTGTAATTACTAAGGAGATGTGTGTTAATTAGAGTAAATGCCAGAAGTGGAATTAGACAGAGTAGGAGAGGGTACGTGTGTTGTAACGTTGAGGCATGTCCACTCAGAAAGCTGTAAAATAAGACTATTGATACCAACATATTAAGAGCTGCAAACAGTATGGGTAATTCAAGCAGCTTAAAATATTTTATCATTAATCATTTATCATAATAATAATTTATTTAAAATAATTAATGTGATCCAGAGATCTTTGTGAATCTGAGATGACTTCAGGAAAGAGAATGAATTGTTCTGGTGGCAGGTGCTTACTCATGCCTTTTTGCCAGACATTGCCAGACCTGCACTGAGGGACTTGGAGCAATATCCATGCCACAAACACAGTGTGCAGGCTCAAGACTTCAGCTTCTGAACAGGAGGTCAACTTGGAGGTTAAACAACAAGGCACTAGGGCTCTGGAGGGTCTGTTTGGGTTGGACTAAAGCGTTGGTCAGAGATGATGTTTTGGGGAGTACAGAGCAGGCATAGGAACCACAGGGTGGATAAACTGTTAGTCAAACTGAACCTCTCTATCAGGTCATGCTTTGACATCGTCAGCAGTGCACTCTTCAAAATTTTTGTCTCTGCCAGTGTTGACAGTCTTGGGTTGGTCCTTCATGAGCAGATGTCACCAAATTACAGAATCCTCTTGAATGGTGGTGATGTCATCATGTGTGGTGACAGGTAGATAGAGAGCTGTGCTATTTTTGTCACTTGAACCCATTTTGTCTGGTCTGCTTCATCACAGAGATGCAGTCATTTAGGTAAATCGGTCAGAAAGACTGAATCTTTGTAAAATTCTGCAAGTAGAGAATTGATCTTGAGGTGCTTTTCAGCAGTGCTTGGGTGAATAATTTGCTATAGAAGAAATTTCACAGCATTGAAGCACATCACCCTGGCTTCCTGCCACCTCTGCCAGGTAAGTCAGCTCCACGTCATGGCTGACAATATCAAATGAGGGTGACAGGAATGTCTGGTGATGGGCTGAGATCATTCAGTCCTGCTGCTGGAGCAGTTTGCTCTGTATCTTGGTAGGAATCCAGTCTCTGCATGCTCTAGGTCACTCACTGCATCAGTTAGAGGAGCTTGGAGTTGGTGGTTGACTCTCTGAGCTTTCTGACAAACAAGAGGTACATAGTTTGGTGATAGTTGGCTGAAAACATGGTGTTGTTCAGAGTGCAACAGGCTATTTCCTACTTCCACCTTTTCTCTGAATGATACGTTTCCTGCTTGGACAGGAACACAATGCTTATATGTGCTG